TGGAACTGGAACTGGAACTCCCCTCCCTCCTCAGTCTCCTGTGTTGGACGACGTGGAACTGGAACTGGAACTGTTCCACCCGCCCGGGGCACACTTTGTCGATGAGAGAAGGTGTTTGGAAGTGTGTTTGGACAGCTCCCTTGGAAGAATGGAACTTGATGTTGAACTGTACCTCAGGCCTTTTGACAACGAAGGGCATTCAAGCTCAGGTGTTTCCGCGAGCGCAGCAAGAGCTGGTGATCCCAGAGAAATTGCGCGATTATGTTCAGGTGGGAGGCGCCAGACAGTCGGTAATCCGCATCAGTGACCAGCGACAAACTTACAGCAGAAGCTGAGACCTGTTTAACGGTGTGGGCTTGTGCAGGTGGCTCCCTACAAAGACTTGGTGGAGGGCTTGAGCTCTTCGACCCCCTGGCATGTTTGCGGACTTTGGCGGGACAGTTGAACGGCAATAAAGATCAATAAAGTAAGATTTGCTTGAGGAAGATTCGAGCTCTTGTGGAGACTGGCGCAGAGGCCTGGATCCAGCTTGAATGGAGCCTAGGGTCCAGCTGGTTAGGCTGTCATAAGCGGAATATGTGATCGTGAAGTTCCTTAGCATCGCAGGCTCCAGATGCTCAAGCAGTTCATCCAGCAGTTTGGGCACGTTTGAAGGCCCAAAACCAGCAAATCGTTGATATCGATGCAAACTCCAAACAGCTGGATGTTCACAGGAGTATGTCAAAAGCGCTGCATCAGAAGGTTCAGCAGCCAAGGGCTTGGAAGCGGACACATCGTGCGAGGTTTTTGTTTTGAACATGTCTTAGTCAAACCACCACGTAAAACATAGCCGGGGGGGGTAGGGCATACCACAAAAACACCATAACACAACTTCATCCATGCAAAGGATGCGCTTGGAACACGGAGCAGTGGAGAAGACGAAGAGGCAACATTTTGCATGGGCAGCGCAGTCATTCAAACTCAGAAATCAGTATGCCGCCAGGAGTCGTTTGTGCCACACAGTGACCAAGGCAAACATGGTTTGTGATTGTGAAGTCAAACATTGACAAATGTGTCCACAATGTTTTTGACATTCGGCCACAGGGATAAACATTTTTGGGCCAGGTAACTGTTGGGCGGATCCTGCAGCACACTATGATGCACAAGCTCCCAGCTCGCAAGGAACCCAATGCCAGCTGGTTTTATCCAGGTTTGGGATCCCGCAGTTGACTTCACTAACATGGTCAGCAAAATTATTGGCTTGATTACTCAGGACTATAATATTGCATATTCATTATTGAAAACATCACACCGCTGTGGATATCGATCATTGCATTTTGCTTGATGGGACTCATCCTGCCAATCCAGGTCTTCTCTCCGAGACCGGCCGCAGTCCCCCACAGTGCGGCTTCGTAATTTCAATTCCTTTGCCAAGGCCTGTGTTTGTGGACAAAGTTTCCTATAACCGGGTGACATTTTCTTTTCCTGCCAAATGACCCGAATGGACGGACCACAATGTATGGGAGCAATCCGAACCTTCGAGTCGTGAGGAAAGGTGAAATTGGTTCGAACATGTCTTTAGACGTATCGGAGTGCTAATTTTCCTGGGATTTTTTTCTCATTTTTTGTCCACCTGTGTGAGAGAGTGACCGCTGTACTGTACTACAAACAATAAATCATGAATCATTATGTCTTCCTTTACCCATTTTACCAGTGGACAGCGTAATGGACATGCCAGTTTTATTTTTTGGTATATGTTTGGCTTGACAACTCACTTCATTCTTTTGCTGCGCCAGTGCCCAGTGAATTTTGTCGACGCTTCACGCTTTCAGAATTTCCGGAGGCCGTTTTGCTGGACCAATTCCTCACCGATGTCTTGCGGCAAGCCAGGTCTTCCTAGATTTGGCGCAAATGGCACCACAATCAGTTGTTTCAGATGCTTTTTGAGTGCAGGGCCAAAGACATTCATCATGAACTATTATGTAGAGCACATGCAGTCAGACGGCACTGATCCATGACCACAGCCATTTTCACCTCCATGAGGCCGGCGGCGAGGGCCGGCCATTGTCAGTGCTTGATTTGGGTTGTGGCGACTCGGCTTCATGATTTACTGTTCATGTCGACTGTTGCTGGCTTGAACTTGTTCAGTGACAAGACAAACATTTTTACAGAAGAGAGAAAATAAATACCAAACAGATCCAAACAGCAGATTTTGAGAAATAGGACAAACATTGAAGACACTACAAGAACAATGGAGGAGCTTGCTGTTGCTTCCTCGCCAGTGGGACAAAATCGTGGGGGGATTTTCCGATTGCTACCTAACTAGCCGCTAGAACACCTCTAGCGCCTCAATATTTCCACGTAACCTATACTATCAATCATGAAGGGGGTCTTACGATGTTCCACTCCCAAGAATACTCAAAGCACTTACAATCCTCATGTTCAACATTGCCCAAGAGTTGTACTGGAAGGAGTTTGCAAGGAAAACTGTGATGGAAAAACCGAGTTTTCTGAGGATTCAATTGCAAGATAGAAAAACCCAACCCCATGTTTCACTTCTCTCACTATTTGTCTCATGCTGACTCAATCATTTGATTGCCTTCTTTCTGGAACCCGAATACTGCCACAGTGGTCAAAATTATATATAAGTCTCAAGCTGGATGATGCAAAGACTTGTCACGATTACCATCCTTGGCAATAATGTGGGAGATACGGCTGCAAAATTGACAAATAAACAAGGCATGCCTCAAGTTCTCCAGATGTCCCAAGCTATTGAGCTATTGCCGACCATAAAAAATCCATGTGCGACAACTTCTGGCTGTCCATCGATACCTTGCTGAACTCAACGCACTTCACTCCAAACTTAAGCTGGAAAAAGAGCATGATGATGGGTTCGATGTTGAAACCTTCCAGATTCGAACAACATTCAGGGACTGGCCGATTCCAACTCACCGGGCACCACAGCCTGATTTGCTGCATGCTGCCATGGCCTGCCTTTGGGGTCATCAGACTGCTTCACATGTCTTGGATTTTTTCACCGCCTCCAATGGTAATCACCTGAGTCCACCGTCCACCCTTGATTCCCAGGACGTTGGCATTAGCAGGATCGAACTGATTGTTTTGTACGTGCTGCTTTTCCGGCCAATTCCTACCGAATTTGGATACGGTCCACAGAAGCTAAATTCCATCAACCGTTTGCCTTCGATTCCCCAGAGTCCTCGATCTTACCACCATCTACTGTAATGGGTCGCTTCAGTGGCAAGCACACAATCTGCGTGCAGTTGTGCGATATATGATGTCTTGAAAATGTGACCAAGGTGCCTATGTTTCCATGCTATAGAAAGACGTTGTCATCCACTAAATTCGCTTGGGATTCCAACGAAGTCTCGTTGGTGGAGTGGCTTCTTGTTCCTTTTCACCGTGGTCGTCCCAGCCCGTGAACCAAATTACCAAGCACTCGAAACTTTAGGAACAAAAGTCCTTGTGGTGAACGTCCTCGCGGTGGAACCTAATAGTGATGGCCTCCATCCTAGTCCTTGCGGTGTTGCAGCCAAATGCAGCTTTCCGATCATCACCATCATTCCCCGCACGCGTGCAGCAGTTCCAGCGGCAACTCAACAAACACTTCAATCATCTTAAAGCAGCGCACTGGAAGGATCTAGAAGGGCTGTGGGGCGCGACAGACAGTCAGCAAATGATTTTTGGCGATTCAATCCGATACGCCCTTTAGGGCTACATCCCTTTTCGCTCGATGCACTCCACAGAAAACTTTTTGTTCATTAAATGCATTTTTTTTTGAGCATTCAAGCAGTTCAATTGAAGTTCAATCTGTTTTCTTTGTGCGAAGGAAAGGGTGGCGATCTCAAAAAGCTCATGAACTCCGGCCGGAGGGCCCAATGAGACCAACAGCCGTTTCTTGTACGGCACAGACTCGCACAACTTGCCTTCCAAACAAAACTGTCGAGAAGGAAAGCAAGAAAGGAGTGAAAAAAGCTGAAAAAAGAAAGATCTAACGGTCTAGAGTCTAGAGTCTAAAGAACTCTAAAGATGTCTACTGTAAAGGAAGCGCTACCAGAAAAAGAAGGAAGAAAGGAAGGAAGGAAGGAAGGAAGGAAGGAAAAGGAAGGGAGGAAACAGCAAAAGCAAAGAGCAAGAACGAAAGAAAGGGAGGAAGGGAGGAAGGCACATTATGGTGTCCGGTTCTCACCAGAGTCTCACCGCTTCTCACCTCATCCGCTTTGGAACATCCCAAAGCGATTTGGAGCCCAAACCTACCAAACCAGCGGTTGACATCCCCACACCCACTATGATCCATTTTGTTCATTTCAGTGCCAATCTTGACTTACAAATAGCACCTTTCCAATTTTTGACCAGCTTTCACAGAGTGTTTTTTCTAATGACAAGAGCACAGAAGCCGCAGCATATACCTCAAGGTTTCATTCAAGAAGCAGGTTCTCGGCTGCTGTTCCCATTCTTGACTCCCATCGAAGGCAGCAATACACCGAAATACATGCACTAAGACTCCTCAGAGTGGCACCACACATGCTCAACCTGTTCAGACAGCTTAGATTGCTAGGACTTTGTGCATCTCCGCAGGTCTGACGCACTATTGCGGTCTAGACGTCTCCTACGCCTCCTTAGAGGTCTTCAGGGCAAGGCTCAAGGATCTCCAAAGCAATCGGGCGCCAAGGCCAGGAGTGTCTTGAAACGGATGCAACGTGCGATGTTTCAGCCCCAGCCTCCGACCTACTAGCAAACTATATTAGACCTTTCTTCCTGCTCTTTTTGTTTGTTTCTAATAGCAATGGCCAACCTACTAGCGATGGCCTCCAACCGGCCTCCAACCTAATGCACTATATTTTGTTTGCTTTCCAAGCAAAAGTGGCAGGCATGGGCTCTTGGGGCGTTCTGAGGGCTTGGCCTTAAAGGAGGCCTGCCAAAGGAGTTTGAATCATAATTGGGACCTGGAAAGGAGAACAGTTCTCAATTCAAAACCAATCAGGTGAGGAGATGTGAGGAGTTTGTTTGTTGGACTCGAGTCTACTGTGTTGCGGGTCGTGCGTCGGTTTCTCTCCAAAATAACTGCACCTGTTCAAAAAGATAAATATGTTTTCAGTTTTAAAACATAAGGATCATAAGGGGCACTCCTGGCAGTGCAGCTTTCTTACATGTTTTTAAACATTTTTTTGTCAATATATAGTATTTGTAAAGACAACTGCACTTCCAGGCCATGGTTGCGACACTCTGTGGATAATGCTGCAATTAGTGGAAGATTCCGGACCTGCAGAAAAAATAAAACAAACAAACTAGACAACATTTTCAGAAGTCTCTTCTGGGGGGAGGGTTCAGTCAAGACGGTCAAATAGTTTTATTGTTTTTTGTCAACCGATTTTGTTTAAAGGTAAGCATTCCTTTTTAAGGAGGGGCCCAGGAGCCTTGACATTGGTTTGTCAGAAGGCAACAGTCTTGTACACTGTATACTGTAACTTGTTGCTACGTAGCAATCTGGATTGACCATTTCCACCTTGATGAGCTTTCCCTTCAGAATCTTGACTTGTTTCCTCGAGTAACACTTGGCTCCTGCTTGTGGTTCTTGCACACAAGCACCTCTTCCTATACTTGAAGTAAGAACCCCAATAGCCTTGCTATATATCTGGGGAAGGAGGATAGTCGTTTTAGATAAAGTGAGGTGCTTGTATGTAGGCGTAGGTAGCACACACACAGCATGGTGTGTTCCGAAAGATGGGAAGGCACGTAAAAATAAACGTTGATAAAGCATGTCCACTCCAATTGTTAGCGAGAAGCAGATCTTATCAAGGAAGGAAAGGAAGGATGTTCTTCATAATGTTTAAGCTTGTTTCCTACTAGGCTAGATAGATTTACAATAGTAACACTTATATATGGAAGGCTTTACTTATGTCAAATGATCAAATGCAACATCAACCGTGCTAAACAAAATGCACTGCCACAACTGCCCGCTCTCTTTAAGTTTCGCTAAACATCTAGGAACCAAATCATTGGTGCGAGCACTTCTTCCTTGAAGAAGCGTGAGCTATCCTGCCTCCATATGTAGGAGCTTCCTATTGCAAGTAGCGTGTTACTACGATTATGTAGTTCTTCATTAAGTAGGCGCCTACTTACTTAATCTTACTTAGCTAATTTCTTGTTCTCTCTTTCGGGGCACACTTAGGAACACGTTCCTCGAAGAACCCAAACTTTTTTCTTAACAGATCTACCTCCTCTTAAAAAAATATCTTTATTGTTGTTGTAAAATAGCAGCAGTTTCAGTAGTCTTTTGTTTAAACATGGTTTAGTTTTAGTTTTGTTTTTTTAGATGCATATAGAATATAGTATGGTTTTCATTCTTTGCCTTCACCTTTGCTTTTTTATTTTCTTTGTCCCCTCACGTTTGGTCAGGTCGCCTTGATCCATGCAGATGCCTTCCGGGAGTGTTTGGAAAGTACCTGGGACCGGAGGACGAGCGCAGCAAGCTTGGTCGGGCTTTGGTGGGCGACTCGTGTGATCTAGCTCGAGCAACAAGCGGGCCTTGCTGTGCATTTGAGAGCACCTGCGGCTTTCTCATGTTGCCATGGAACCTTTTGCTTGGTCATTCCAGGGGCAAGGGGCCGGGGCAAGAGGCTCTGGTATTTTGGGTGCACTATACCATCAGGGCACAGGGTGCACAGATGTGCACAGCTGGTGGCTTTACCGGTGGCTTTGGCAAGGAGATATGGCACTGCACGGTCACAGCTTGGGCGCTCTTGGCAAGGTAGCCCAGATCAACCCAGCTGAACCTGTGCAGCCTGTGCTCGACTTCTGGACATGTTCGATCATTGAAGAATATGACATCAGAAGAACGTCATATGAAATCTATTGTAACCTCGGGTCAATGAAAAGTATTACGTTAATGCCATGAGAGTTCAGTGTGATTCTCCACGTATTGGAGGTTTCACTTGGTGACCTCCCAGATGGCGTGAAACCCGGAAATCGGAGAGGTCAGTCTGGTGTTCAAAGAGGACTCTCAAAAGGGCTTGCAAGCGTAAGTATGTTGGACCTACCGATAGTTTGATATAGATTGATCCCATTTGGACAAACGTGTAATTACTGGAGATTATTCGTCAGTTTATAATTAGTGTTTTGACTCAGGGGTGCTTTATGGCTGACACAGCGAGGCCTGTCATTATGCCTTCCAGTCTCAGGCCTTTGGTCCCGAAATTCGTGTGTTGCAAAGTTGATGATTCTCGTTGTTTGGACGACGGTTTGGAGGTTTGTATGCATTGTTTTTTGAAAGGTACTATGTCACTATGTGACTTGTGACTATGTGTATAGTATCAGAGGCTAGGTCTTAGAGGCTTAGAGTCTTCAACTGGACTACCTGTTACTGCTGCACATAACCCTGTAGCTAATTATACAGAGTCGATTGTTTTCTGTTGAGCTTGGCACAGAACCAAAGCAGCATAGCTGGTGATGCCACCGCTGGTCTGCTGTCACAGGAGTCCTTGGAAACCATGTTGGACAATGCCGCTTTTCTGTACTGGGAATGAATGGACTGCCCTGTGCGAGTTCTTCCTTGAAGAAGCCTGAACTTTCCCGCGTTCCATCTACTAGTGGCGGCCTACTTAATGGCTAAAAGTAGCTTACTAACCTCCGTCCTCACGATCTAGCCCCCCTCAAACATTCAAACATTGTTTAACATTATAGACAAAGACTCAATCCAACCGCCTTCTGAGGTCTCCAAACGCCTGTGCAGTGGGGGCTATTTTGTCGCAACGGTTCCAGATGCAAAGAGGCCCTCTCGAGTCGCCGTGAGGGTAAAGAGGCAATGCAAGGAAGGTTCCATGACTCCTGTTGCATTGCTTGAACATGCTGCTTGAAACATTAAGAGCTAGACTATGCTTATCAATCCTTCAACTTTGATATTGATATAGCTGCACTAAACTATCAACAAAACTCTGCTGCAAGGACTTAGGTCTTGGACTTCTTTACCCCTTAGCTGACAAGAATGGGCATAGGGATCCAGAAAAAACATACCGAATCAAACAACTCTACTTACAAAAAACAATTACAAACTTAAACACATCGCCTAATCAGCTGGTCCCTTGGTCCCCTGGTCCTTTGGTCCCCCGGACCCTTGGTCATTTGGTCCGCTGGCCCACTCCTGGTCCCTTGGTCTGGTTCTTTGGTCGCCTGGTTCCTGGTGAATGTTACCCGTGACTGCCTGGAGGGAGGCTAGGAGGCGACGGCGATGTCTCAGAGGAGTGTTTTGAAGAGCGAATAGCATTTAGAGGAGGGAGGTGCCATTCCAATATAACATACCTTGTGTGAGCGCCCTGAGAGTACAATATACAGGTGGAAGGTGCCATTCCAAGGTAGCATACTTTTTATGAGCATCTTCGACAGAATTTGGAGGAGGCAAAGGCCATTCCAAGTAACATACTGTACCTTTTGTGACCCACCCGATGGTAACTTTTAGACTCGCATACCTTTTGCATCTTTTGCGAGCCACCTGAGGTTAAAATTTGAAGAGGAAAGTGCCGTTCCAAGGTAGCATACATTTTGTCAGCCATCTCCAAAGAAAGATATTGTGTACCTTTTGTGAGCCATCAGCAACAAGATTTAGATCATTTTAGATACATTTAGCCCGACGGGAAAACTTGGAGGAGGAAATGGCCATTCCAAGGTAGCTTTCCATTTGCAAGCTGGCCGAGGTTAAAAATTAAATGAGGAAGGGACCATTCCAAAGTAGCATACCTTCTGAAGGGCCGCCAGAGCGTAAAATTAGACGAGAAAGGTGCCACTCCAATGTAACATACCTTTGAGCTTGGCGGGCAAAATATAGAGGAGGGAGGTGCTTTTCCAATGTAGCACGCTACTACTGCTGTTGCTACTACTACTACTACTACTACCACAACGGAATATTTGTTGATTCCTTTTACATTATATACTGACTCTCTTTTTAATGCGTGGGAATCTGCTTTCTGATTCGTGAATGACTTTGGCAGCTAACCCACAAGAGTGGTTCTTACTGTAAATGTCTTTAGACAATCTCATGCACCACTGGTCATTGGTCCATGTAGTTGGCTCCCGATCTGCAGGATAGTCTCAGCTCAACGCAATGCCTTGTCTTTAGTGTTCCCGGCTTGTTGGGTCAAACGGAGGGATTCTGGGTGCTGGCTACGTCACTTCGGTAGACTCCTGTAAATCGACTTCAGACAGCAACCCCCGGCACTCGAATCATGAATTTTGTAAAATCATCCGTTCGGGCCAAACAGTCGGACGTCGAAGTTCAACAGCTTGAAGAGGCAGCATTGTGTTGGACATTAACAAATCATGGAAGCAGCGCAATGAGATGTAACATGACACAACACCGTCAAGATGTCCTGTGAATCGATTTTTCGTTGTTGATGGTGAATACAAGCAAAGCCCCTAATGTTCTTATGACACAGTCTTTGAGTTTGTTCAATTGGCCAGGGGCGAGCGTTTGGTCGGCTCGGAAACAACCTCTTTGGAATTGAGTTTTCAGAAGAGGATCGGGTGGCATTCTTCGGACGGAATTGTACTACTCGTAGATCTGTTACGGCAAACAAGGAAACTTTCCCAGAACCCCGCTACTTGCGAAACTAGTGAGTTGCCTCGAATGGGTTCCTAATGCCTCCTACTTCTATGTCATCAAGGCATTGTACACCATCCAAGATTATCCACACAATGCCACACCCGTGGAGGAGTGGTCAAAGGTGGAATCCATCACCTGGGATGAGACGTCGGATCAGCTTGACAAGCGAGCCTTTGGAATCATGTACAGGTGCCTTCCTTTGAGATGACTGGGACACAAGAATTCTTGTAGTTGAAGTTGAGGGTTCCCATTTCTTAGGCCCAGGCCCTGGCCAATATTTCTTCAGACATCTTCAGATATCGATTTGATATCGGTTTTATATACAGTAGTTTTTTTGAGGTGGACATCATTTTGTCAACCTAGTGGAATGTAACCTCCATATCTGTGATATTAGGTCATTAGCACTCTTGCGTTGGAGCTGGTTCATTGTACGTGGTTAGTGTGCTTTTTTGTTCAGTTGTTGACACTTAGATGTTGGTTGCAGTTGATGATTCTTTCCCGTGCTGTCAAGCTCCAGGTTTGATTTGGTGGACGCCGTCGATGTACCTCGTCTGCAATATCTAGTGGTGAAGCCTAACGCTACCTGAGCTGGAAACTGAGTCCTGCTTGGAACCGCTGGTGCATTTTCCAAGCTTGAGAGCCATAGCGAAGAGCAAGGCATGGCTCAGCATCGTCAGCGGCAAGTACGGAAGTTCGGAGTGTGAAGCTATTCAATTTAAAGACTTGGTGGTGTTTGCCAAACAGCAGAACTGTCTTTACAAGTTCTTTGATGCTGCCTCAGACAAAACTTGGGTCAATTTAAGCACCCTCAAGCCCTTCCTCTGCAGGGCTTGCAGCTCAGCCTCGCTCCCACTCCTTTGAGTCAGCTGGTCATGGGAGACAAAGCTGAGCTGGGACGCTTGCGCCGGATCTACGCTTTCGCAGGCCTTTGCTGCGCAGATCAGTGACCCAGGTCTCGGCATACATTGGTGACCGCTGCCCGACTCAGCGGACCCCAAATAGCCGGGGAGGTCGGTTTCGTGGGTCCAAGCGGCAGGTGGTATGGCTTTGCACTCCAACGAGGCTGGTCTACATTTGGGAAGGAGTTGCTTGGGCTAGTGGCAGCCTTTTTGGCACAGGACAAGGGATGCTTGTACTACAGCTACTCAAACATGACCAGGCTATCTCAGTTTACAAAGACCACTTGAGAGGAAGAAAAGACATACGTTGTAAATTGATGTAAATTGTAAATCCTCTCCATCTCGATATACTGGTAATACCTACTTGTGCGTGTCCTTGGCAGGCGAGGGAGCAACGAGAGGCAATGGAATTTTATGTTGCCTTTGCCTTTCAAAAAGAGCAGGCACGGGTGTTTTGAATATGGCAATTGCATGTTTAGAAGAAGCCTTTTTCACTGTGTGACGCTTATGCACATTCTTTGGGTCTGAATCATATACTTTGACTAAAGCTGTTTTTTAGGCTGATGGTGTGCTCTCATGTGATGGGCGAAAAACTGATTTGCAGGCTGAAGATTTGCCCACCTGCCAAGAAGTTTCTGAGGGTGTGAGGGCCCAGAAAAGAGGACAAGACTTCATTGATATGCTGCACTTGCTTCACTTGATGCACCGACCACCCAGTGGCAGAAGTTACTTCAATTTCATGTCAGTAATAGTAAGACTGGACATGCTTGACCGTGTGAAACACGGGGAGAATGGTGACTGAAATCTTCATGACCACGAAACCGCTGACATCACACAGTTTACTCTACTCTCCCTATATCTCCCTCAACGCAGCACTGAATGAGTGCTTTGATTGTGAGGGCTGACGCAAAGTGGCTGTACCAGTGGTCCAGGCATCGAAAGCTCCTTCTTTGCGAAAGAATGGAGAGGAAGAGCCAATCCTCTCTTTTTCCTACTCTCAGTATCATGTCCTTTTTGCTTATCATGCCGTATCACATTTTGTCATCTTGTGTGTACTGTGTACAGTCTTGGGACGATTGCCTCTCAATGTCATGGTAGCTATTGGTGTTTCTTAAATTATTTGTGGTCGTGCCGATTCATGTAAACTTAAACTTTTGACATGCTGATTCCCGCTCAGCACCCCCCCAAAAAATCTGCTTGGTTGGTGTGTGAGGCGAGATTCTCAACTCCAACAGTGACTGCATGGGAAGCGTTCATGCAAAAAGGACAAAGATCATGCCAATGATCTTTTCGGGAAAGCAAAGTCATTGAACGTAGGATGCGACGAAACATGAATAGATTGGGCAAGTTATTGCAGCCTTTAATCCGGTTTGCCCTAGCTTTGAGCTAGAATGATCACACATCCGCCACAGTGAGCCTATCAAGCCTTTTTCAATGCCCTTTTCAACGCCGTTTTCTTAGCATTTTGGTCCATGAAATCTTCGGGACCATGTGAGGTCATGGCTTCAAGAAACATTCAGAGACCATGGGTGGAACATGGACCAGAGGACTTGACGTCTTGGCTCGAGATTAGCAGAACTTTGACTTGCTAATAGGTAGAGAAACTCAGGAGGTTGTGAAACAAATCAATACATGTCAAGGCAAACAGCTTTTCTGCTCTTCGTTGATAATTGTTATTGGAGTTCTTTTAAACTCCCGTCATTCTATTGACACCACTGCATAGTTTAACAATTACCATAGAGCGCGTATGAAGGTTGTTTTTGCAAGCAGATGTCACAGCATCATGGAGAAAATCAGCTTTGGAGCCTTCTCACACTGCCAATACACTTCCAATGGTGCTCCGTGCTTCTATACAGGCCATATTTCAGGTTCCGATCCCACACTGAATATGGGGACTTGCAGGGAGTGAAGAGCAGAACATGCCCTACTGAATGCCTCCTGGTTGCCTGCTCCTCACTCCCTTGAGTTCTGTCCTTCCGTTCCCGCAGGGTAGTGTGTGCCTCGCGGCAAAAATATTCCTTGTTTGTACTTAGCGTGTAATTGTTTTGGCAGGGATTTCAAACACCCAGCAAAAAGTTGATTTGCTAAGCACTGGATGGACTTTAGAAACAGATTGGATTTCCTGGATTGATTCTATGTCTGTGCTTGTTCTCTATTTTTGAGCATTTCTCGAGGCCGTGTCTTCCACGGGAACACCGCAATCATGCACAAGTACCGGCGGGGCACTCCGGATGGTGTAGTGAGATGCGACATATTTGGTGCTCGATGACCCCAAAGTCAAGAGTGAGTCTTCACTACATTTTGATGTCTCTGGCATTCTCGAAGATGTTTGTCACTTCGCTGTACCACATCTGTTCTATGCCTTTCATCATCTTCAGCGCTTCGTTGCGTTGCACTCGATCCATGGCCGCAGCTGTCCCTAAACGCAATTCAAATCAAACGCTGTAACCCAGGTGTGCCATTGCCATGGCAGTCTTCAGTAAGATGTCAGGACGCCGTACCGCTGTGCCGCTAGTGTTGGGTGCTGCTGCTTTGGCAGCGACAAGCTTCGTGGTTCCAGGGGCTCCTGTGCAGCAAGTCTCTGCTCGAACTCCAGTGACTGCTCAGGCGAGGCCAAGGATTGAACAGCTCATGATCCTCAGGTCTAGTTTCGAGTATGCTTCATTCAGAAATCTGATTGGGTGGCACGCACAGTCATCTAAGGATTCTAAGGGTTCGGATTTGTGTTTTCTTTCAGGTGAAGCAAGATGCAGCGAGCTCGCTACCAGGCCTCACAGCAGGTGTGACCATGGGAGTGACAGCTGCAGCAGCTGCAGCCAACCGAAGAAAGCCAGTGAGGAGCTCCTTGATTGGGCCGTGAGTTTGTACCTTGATGAATCGTCTAAAGTTAAAGAGCCAGCATTTGTAGAGGATTCTGAATCTCACTGCAAGTTGTCTTTGTTCAGAGAGAAGCATTCCCTCTCTTCCAGATGAAATGAGTTCAGCTCGAGGAGTCAAAAGTCGCTGGCAAAGGCCAAGAAGGAGATGTCGGAATCCGGCCTGTTGCACTTGGTTGCATCGGTTCAGGATGTCTTGTCCAAACCTCACGAGGGAGATCGCATTAGGGATCTGAAGGCACTGGCTGCTGAGCTGAAGCACACTCAGAATAGCACCAGCCCAATGGAGGGCCCCTTGCGATGGGTGGCGAACATGGCAGCAGCTCTTCTGTTGACTCAGGGGATGGCCTTGCAGCCTGCGAATGCTGGAGATGTAGTCAACTACTCTGACTTCATTGATTCAGTGAACAAGGGCGATGTTGAGATGGTGCGTGTGCAACCAGACATGCTGTCGGCTCAGTATGTTACCAAGGAAGGTGCCCGGCGGGAAGTGAACCTCATTCCAAACGGCCAGATTGAAGATCAGCTCTTTAACCAGCTTGCTGACAAGAAGGCCTGGGCCATCCGGAAATGTCAAGCAACCTTCAGTAGCCCATTATATGTCGCCGTCGGTGACCGGTGGCAAAGCAGCCTTGAACGTGTTTCGTGGGTACTGAAACCTTATGAATTATGACTTGTGTATCTTGTTGATTTTGGAATGTTATGGACCTGTGATGTCCTTTGACTCCAGGTGGATGTGGTGATGTCGACGGGTGAGGCTGGATCTCCTTTCGACTTCCTTGCCCGCTTTGCTGGTCCACTTGCATGGCTGGTGGCTGGCCTCTTGCTGCTTTTCGGTGGTGTTGGTGGACCTGCTGGACCTGGTGGACCTGGTGGTCCAGGCATAGATTTGAGATTCTAAGAGCCTGTCGATTTGAATCGATGACACCAACACCTTCTTGGACATCTTGACACGAGATGACACACCACAAGACATGCTTCTCGCCAGGTGGGAATCCTTTTGAGCTGGGCAAGTCCAAAGCTCGGATCATCAAGGATGGCGACACCAAGGCAATGCCGGTTCAGAAAGGTTCATCAAACATAGTTTTTGCACTACATATAATTACATATCGCAGATAAGCTCGAATAATCAAGAAGATCCACAGGCATCCACAGGCCATGGCAAGAATGGCAGTGAAGCCTCTTCAGGTGAAGTTTGGTGATGTGGCGGGCTGTGACGGCGCCAAGACAGAGCTGGTGGAGGCCCGATCTGATCTGACTGGGCTCTTGTGACTCTCCAACCAACCAAACAAGGCTTCAGTGCTACGTTGGAATTTGCATGTTCTTTTTTGTTTTCATTCTTTTTAACATGTTTTCTTTGACTTTTCATGATGTGCATTTGTTCGGAATGATTCAATGCGGCATTTAAGCGAAGGGGAAGGATGATTTGAGCTCTCTGGATCTCTCTAGCGCATTCACCTTGAGCCACTGGCAGGTGGTTGACTTCCTGAAGAATGCCTCGAGGCTGGACAGAAGACATGTTGCAGGTCCAGGTCGGAAGTACCGACCGCATCACATCCGTTGTTTTCCGGCATTTTTGAATGCGTTGAACATGGAATTTGCTCAAAACACGGGTGTGACGTGGATCCGAGTGAAACCTCCAGGTACTCAGAACTGGGCGCCAAGATCCCCAAGGGTGCCTTGCTGGTGGGCCCACCTGGCACAGGAAAGACCTTGCTCGCCAAGGCTGTGGCAGGCAGCTTGGGAAAGGATCTTAGTTGATGTCGGAGGTTTCCTTCCAAAGTCTATTGAAGTCTTAACTGAAAGTCTCAACAGGTCGCAAACGACATGTATCAAATTGTATCAATATATAATATATAATATATTTATCATCCAACCAAAACGGTGTCTTCCAGGCGAAGCCGGTGTGCCCTTCTTCAGCATCTCCGCGTCGGAGTTCGTTGAGGTCTTCGCTGGAGTGGGCGCTTCACGCGTCCGAGATCTCTTTGAACAAGCGAAGAAGTCTGCGCCGTGCATCATTTTCATCGATGAGATCGATGCTGTGGGGCGGCAGCGAAGTGCAGGCGCATGTCCTGAGATCGGTTTGCCTAAGGTTTTGGACGAGTGAGCGGCATGTGGATTCGAAGATTGTTGCACATGTAGAACACTCTGTAGACCTCGAAGACCAGAGCGTTCCAGGCTTCGGACAGGGCAATGACGAACGTGAGCAGACTGTGAACCAGCTGCTTACCGAGATGGATGGTTTTGAGAGCAACAAGGGAGTGGTGGTCCTCGCAGCCACAAATCGGGCAGACATCTTGGATCAGGCCCTCGTTCGCCCAGGCAGGGTCTGCAGCGGCCTGTAGACGATCAAACATGTTCGTGTTGCTTGATGTAATACCCATTCTGAAATATGTTATTTCCTGGCAGGTCGCTTCGATCGGCAGATCCAGGAGTGGTACTGAGAATTGAGCTTCAATGGATTCTGAAAGCATTGTAGGTCCATGCAGTCAGCTCGCAAGATTGCAAGATCCCTGATGAGGTGGATCCTCCAGATGTCCAGGGCCGCTTGGAGATCCTCAAGGTCCACGCCAAGGGGAAGAACTTGGCTCCTGGCATCGATTTGTCAGCGATCGCAAAGCAAACACCAGGACACTTGTTCAGCAGATTAGGTCATAAATGATGCATTATTATGTCAACATGATTGGACCAATACATCCCGGTTTTTCCTCTCTCTTCAAGGGAAACTGCATCCCAAAGCTGCACTACTACTTGTCCACTCTATGAAGAATCTTGAGGTGTTCCTTCAGCATAGTGAACACCTTTGCAAAACCATAATATATATATATATATGCAACTGAGGAATGTCCGGGGCTGACCTGGCCAACCTTCTTAATGAAGGAGCCATTGTGGCAGCACGGCAGAACAAGTCCGAGATCGACTCCGATGATATCTTCAATGCTCTCGAGCGGATTGCATTGGGCTTGGAAAAAAAAAGATGCAGTGATGTCAGAGCAGAGGAGAAGACTCGTTGCTTACCATGAAGCCGGTCATGCTATTTTGGGCGCTTTGGTGAATGACTATGATGCAGTTGCCAAGATTAGCATCGTGCCACGTGGACCAGCGGGTGGCGTCACGATCTTCATGCCTTCTGAAGAGCGCTTAAACTCAGGCGAAGTCCGTCATGTAATGAGCTCCGGCTCTTTTTGGTCACGTTCAGATTTAGTATATAGCCTTCAATTCTTCCATGGTTCGGCTCAGTTTCATTGGTGTGCTGACCAGCTGACGGGGGAGATTCCTACTTAGTGCTGTTGGTAGTTGAATACGTACTATATACTGTAATGTTTTGCCAATCTAAGCCTTGTGAGGCCTTTATTCCAAGGAATTCCTCGAGAATCGCATGTGCGTGTCACTTGGTGGGCGCCTGGCAGAAGAGATCATCAATGGCAAGGACAACGTGACGACTGGAGCTTCCAACGATTTCCAACAGTGTGACTTGGTTGGGCTCCCGCTAATACAATAATATTGTACAATACTATATTTATGCGTCCTTTATATTATGTCCTTTCACGAGAACGTCCTGAATCATCCGAATCAATGAAGGATATTTGTCCATGTGTCACTAAGCAGAAGATGCAAAGCTTGCCTTGACTGAGGCACCCAGGTCGCCAAGCAGATGGTGATGCAGCTGGGCATGTCTCCCGTTATTGGCCAGCGGCAACTTGGAGGTCAGCAGCAGGGCGGACCTTTCATGGGCCGCGATTTCATGGGTCAAGGCGCGCCGCCTATGTCCCAAGCATTGAAGCAACAGGCTCGGGTGGACTCTCAAACGAGGCTAGCGGCTAGCGCATCATGATTCCACGCAGAGACAATCATTTGTTTAGGCTAGGCCGGCTAGGCAGCAGCCCTTAGAAGATGCTCAAGACGCTAAGAGATCTCAGGTGGATGACGAAGTGAAACGTATTGTGGATGAACAGTACCAGCGCGGCATGAAGCTCTTGAGAGACAATATGTTTTTGCTGGATGAGTTGGCAAAGCTACTCATGGAGCAGGAGAAGGTCAGTGGTGAAGAGCTTGTGAAGCTTATCAACAGAGCTGCGATTGATGGGAAGTTGGCGGTGGACAACAAGCAGATGGCCTTTGCCGCCTTCACAGGTGAGAAAGTGGACGACAATTCAATGGGTTCGAAGCTCACCAGCAGCTTGGATTTCACATCTAATCACGACTCTGGAAGGGGCATCATCTGGTCACAAGATGTCACAAAGCATCAAAGCAAACAAATTCAATCATATTCAAACCAGCCCTGCTGGCTCTACCAAAAGTCAAAACGACAACATGGATACTTTGTGAGTTCTCTAAGTTCTCTGCATCGCCCAGGCAAGTGTCTTCCATCTATGACATCTATGACCCCCACTTCAATGCCCAAGGGCTTCTGTGGCTCGACCCTCCGTCCCCGCCATGACCGTGCTGCTGCACGCAACGCGATTGCCCGACTTGGGCTCGCGCACGATGAGAAGGCTGTGAGCAGTGAGAAGGTTCTGCAAGAAGTTCAGCGAATGGCAACTGAGCCTTGGACTTCTTAGCTTCTTCAGTGATCTCATGTCACCTCCTATCATAATGTCAATCGGTTTGCACTCTGTTGCGTTGAGTTTTGGCCGTGTCTTTTGCCGAGCTTGCACGGTCTAAGAATGTTTCATTGTTTTAATCTTATTTGTAGCATAAGGTCTTGTGACTCTTGCGATTTTAGACGTCGTGTTACCTGAGGATGTCTCCAATGGCTCCGCTTTGCCAAGCCAGGTGGTCCGAACCGCAGCTGTGCAGACCTTGGTGTCTTTAGCTGCTATGGCAGGTCCATCTGCTGCAGTTGCTGATGATGTGGCAGTGCCACAGAGCGTTCCGCAGCCCATGACTCAGATGCAAGCTACTGGCCGTGTCACCTATTCTCGCTTCTTGGAATTCGTCGAGGAGCAGGGTTGCAGGGCCAGTCAGTGAAATTTGTCCTTGGATCGACTGATGCAGTGTATCACTTTCCTTTGCTGCAACAAGTACTGAACATTATATCACGAAAGCCAGCCGATAGGCTAGGCTGGAGTTGATGGGCGAACGAAGTAGCAAAGGGGGTGGGGGGGTCGCACAGAGGTCAATTTCGGAGGGCGAACCCAGAGCCTGGTGGGGGAGAGCGAAGAAAACTACCTGGAGTTTGGGAGTGGTTTTTGGAGTGATGTGATGCAAGTGATGTAATTGACGGCCATTGCATCATTAGCATCATGAGGGGCTCAGGACGCAATGTAAACCGTCTTCTACCAGGGGTGGGAGTTCATGTCGATGATAGGAAAGAGGAGACAACGGGACCTTCAGAAACAGAGAAATTTGCGTTTTTGGCGGCCACTGAAGTAGTTTTGGAAGACAGGCATAGCGGAGGAGGAAAAGATGGTTTGGAAGAAATCTTGGAGTTGCCTGGGGGTGCCCTCTTTAAATGGTGAAGACGCCTGTCAACCGTACGCAAAAGGGCACCCCATATGGGGTGCGAGTTTACATCATAGGGGAGGAAAGAGAACAGAATGCAGCGGGCATGCTTTGAATTGCATGGGGGTGCCCTTACTTTACGGTGAAGAGGCCTAGTAGCCGCATCCCATATGGGGTGGGAGTTCATGTGGATGAAACAGTCATAGCGGAGGAGGACGTGATAGGAAAAGAGGGATTGCAAGAAACGATGTGACCCATTGAGAACGGGAGGGAAAAGAAGCAGGGCAAGCTTTGAGTTGCTTGGGGGTGCCTTTTTATGGTGAAGAGGCCTGTTGCCCAGACGCAACGGGGCACCCCACATGGAGTGGGAGTTCATGTGCAGAATAGGCATAGCGGGGGAGGATGTGATAGGAAAAGAGGTGGGGACCACCGGGGATCTCGCACTCATATCTTTTACGGCGGCTGGCTTTCGTCCCCTCCCTTCTCAGACTATTTAATTACGGCTATTGCAATGTAGTAGAGCTTGGACGCGTTTGAGTGAGGAGACCTAGCTTGTTTGAGTTACTTGACAAAGATCACACATCCCCCTTTGAGGATGGTGCGGTGAAGCGCGTCGACATGTATGACATGGGCCGGACTGCTGTTGCTTCCGTGACCATTGCCGGTCGTGAGCAGCAGTTGATTTGCGATTTGCCTGGTGCCAGCACGGGAGTCATCGACAAACTCGTGGCAAAGAACGTGGCCATTGATGTGCACCAACCGGACACTTGGATGAATGCGGATGACATCGAAATCAATGTATTTTCATATTTTTCATGTACTTTCAACAGATTTCCCTAGGGGTCGACTGAGAGCCCAAGGTTTCAGCATTCCGCCAGAACATGCATTGCTGCATTACACATTATGACACTTTCTAATTCATTTAAAGCTCACCGTTCACGCATTGGTGTTCATGTTTAGAAAGGGCTTGGACTTGGACATAAGGAGGCCTTGCATAGCAAACACCTGAATTGCGTCAGCCTAGCAAAAAACACTTCATATCCCCTGCATGGCACGTAAACGGAAATGTAAATCGCGTCAGTAAAGCCTAAAAACTTGCCTAAGCACCTCCTTACGACCCTTCACCGCGATTTTTCATGATTTGGTCATGTCCGATCATGAAGGACAAACCCAACCCACTCTTCGGCGCCTTGGCTGATGCAGCGTTCCCTTTGCTGACCATCGCTGGTTTGCTCTTCTTGCGATCGCAGAACCCTGGTACTGGTGGCATCCCAGGACTTGGCAATCAGGGGAAGGCAGGATCTTGTTTGTTGTCATTGGTTTGTCAGACTTCGAGCGCCCTGTGCACATTTGTGCACTGGTACCTGTTCCAATCACAACGTCTCCTGAAAGGCGCAAATCATGATTTCCCCTGACACGGGAGTCAAGTTTGAGAACGTTGCCGGAATTGATGAGGCAAAGGAGGAGATTGGACCCAGTATTGAAACATGTTGACCCCCGCTCCTTTCCTGTGTTCGAAGGTATTCAAGAACTTTGAAAGACACAAGTTCTGTGGAAACAAGAGTGGACTACAGGGTGCCCAAGTTCTACAGGTATTCACGTTTTCTGATACCATAGTTGTATAACTTGATTAATTGTATATATATATATATATATTGTTAGATTGATAGTTTTCGGAAGTGAGAAAGACTGATGTTGCTTCAGGAGCTTACGGAGATTGTCGATTTCCTGAAGGCTCCCGAGCGTTTTGTGAAGGTCGGAGCCAAGATCCCACGTGGCGTCCTGCTCACTGGGCCTCCGGGCACCGGGAAGACGCTCATGGCCAAAGCTTTGGCAGGTCGCATGACGACGAGGGGATGATTTTGAGTAGGAACCGTTTTGTGTTTTGCTGGTGATCCGTCAATTTGTTCGTGCGTGCAACTAATTAAGGGCTGCCGCCCCTGCCGCCGACCCCGGGATATACACCAACAACAGCAATCACAGCAGCAGCACTAAGAAGAAGACCCAGAAGCATCACAAGATCAGAAAAACCACTAGCAACAGGCAGCAAGAAGCATAGTAGCAATGCCTCTGTTCTGGCTGTGCTAATAGACTGGCGGCTGTTTGCGGGGGCCTTGTTGGACAGCCCAGGTGCTGAGCCAGCAA